AGGAACTCTGAGGTGGAGAGGCCGCCTCACACCCCCACCTGGTGGGTGGGGGCTTCTGCTCTCCTCTCTCCCTTAGCTCAGCTCCTGGTTGCAGGTGTGACCAAGATCATCCAGCTAGGACCCCACCACACTCCCCTTAGACACAGAAACTCTCCGGGGCTGTGAGGTGGGGTCTGCTCATGGTTCTCGAGCCCCAGCAGGCCGCAGGGCCTCAAGCCTCCCTTGGAACTGCTCACCTCTGGTCCCTGGGGCGGGGCCCTTGCCCACTCTACCCCCAAGGGCCCATCCTGCGGGGGGGGGGGGGCATCCTGTCTCTTCCTAGGATCTAGACATCAAAGCTATAGGAAGGAAAGAGGGAGGGCAGTAGTGAGTCTCTAAACTCCACAGCTCCAGGCGTTCATAAACCAAGTTTCTTCACCACGTACAAGAGTTTGGGCTTGGCTTGTGGGGCCCAGCCCCCTGCATGAGAAATCACAGTGTGAACCGGCCCAATCTGCCCCACCCTGGAGAGATCAGGGCTCATGTGGAAACAGGCCAAGGCTCTCCTTCCTGCACGAGCGCCAAGAAGCACGGACATCACCCCCTCCCAACCCCATATTTCAAAAACATCCAGGAGCACATTCTTAGAGTTTCAATTATTTCTTGGGGGGTCCCAGGCTAGAGAGGGGAAACTCAAACATCCAGAGTCATGTGCTTTGAGTGGGAAACTATTTGCACACCGTTTAGAGTCTTTTTCTATCAGCCACAGAGGCCATCGTGCCTGAGCCCCTCCACGTTCGATTTGAGCTCCTGCCCCGCCAGGCCCAGCCGCAGAGCTGCCCAGCCCCCCAGCCCTGACCCCGCAGCCACGGCCTCTTCCAGGCACCAGGAGGGGCTCCAAGGAGCCCCCAGGTCACATAGGCCTGCCCACCCTCACTAGAGAGAAACAGCCTTCATCTCTCTGCTTTTGTTTTGTGTTTGCAAGTCCCTCAGCCCACCTTGTAGCCCCCACAGCAGTGGATTCTGGGCCACCCTCACTGTGCTCCCCGGAAGCCTTTGCTGTGGGAACCCCCTGAGACGCTGGTCCTCTAACGGCAATAAGGGGCAGCTTGCCAGGCAGCGAGCTGGTGTGACACTACGCTGTTCACCCAGGAAACAGAGTTTCTTTTTTTCCTTTAAAAACAAACAAATATATATATACATACACACATATATATATTTATTTTTTCATGTAGAGTTGTGCCAGAACAAGCCTGTATGGCCACAATCTGTGGATTCCCCCAACCTCAAGCTGAGGATTGAGGCCAGTTCCCTGTGGCTGGTGTTCAGCAGGAAGACTAAGAGGGACAAAGTGAGGGTGGGCAGGCCCATGTCTTTCCTTTTCAGGAATCACCAGACCAGGGGAGCTGCGCGGGCCTGGCTCAGAACTGCAGCTCCAGGCTGGGAGCCAGCACCAGTGGCCCGGTCCTTGTCCAGAGACCTCACCGCCTTCTCTTTGGGACCAGAAACCTCAGGGAAGGGGGTGCTGAGACACAGGCATTCAGGAAGCCGGAGAAAAAGACACTGACCATGTCCCCCTGCAGTCAGCCCCTGGCCCCTGGCAGCACTGCTGCCTGTGACAAAGCCTGCACATCTGCCACCTCCTCATCCTCACCTGGGCTGTGGTGTGAGGCTGCAGAGGGCCTGCCCGGTCCCCAGCCCTGGCCAACTACTGTGATGTCTCCACTCCTCTTCCCAGACCCCCATTTTGGACAAGTTCTCCAAGACCTCCCCACCCCCTTTCTTCAGACCCTAGGCTGGAGCCCGTGCCTCCCCAACCCCTCGCTTTTAAGTTGTCACCTCAACTTCAGATCATTCTAATCATTTTGGGGACCTAATCGTGTACATTGACAAGTGTAAATTATGATTTTTGGTTTTCTGTTATTTTTTAAGGATCTCTGCAAAACAAATCTATTTAATTTGAAGCTGGTGTTCTATCTGATGGGTAAGATAGAAGCATGATTTGGTTTGGGGTTTTTTGTATGATTTGTTTCATTTGGATTTTTTTATTCTTTTTTGTCTTTTTTCTATCCCTGTTTTGAGATTTTCTGGCATGTTTCTGGAGGTTTCAAAGAAAATAAATGTTTCATAGAAATGGTCTGTGTGTTCACTAGCTGGGCAGCTGCCTGGGGTCACTGATGAGAGGTGGTCCAGCATCAGCCCCCCCTTGTGTTCCCCTTGTCCCAGACAGTCACCGTGCGTGCGCGAACACACACACACACACACACACACACACACACTCTTCCCTAAGTACCAGGGGACACCAACCTTGCAAACATTTTTTCCTTGAAACCCAAATGACAGAAATCCACCACTCAGAACGTAAAAGTCCTTCTTAAGTTAAAAAGAGGGAGTTGCCCTGGCCGGCTTGGCTCAGTGGATAGTGTCGGTCTGCCAACTGAGGGGTCCCGGGTTCGATTCCGGCCAGGGGCACATGCCTGGGTTGCGGGCTCGATCCCCAGTGGGGGACGTGCAGGAGGCAGCCTATCAATGATTCTCTTATCACTCATGTTTCTATCTCTCCTTCCCCCTTCCTCTCTGAAATAAAGAAATATATATTTTTTTAAATAAAAAGAGGGAGATTCTACCTCAGAAGTCACATACTACTAGTAAATGCCTGAAAGCAAGGCCCAGCCCACAAAGTTGTGTTAGTTTTAGAATTAGTGGGCAACTTTTAAAAATCGAGATTGAACAAAAAGAAAGCCAGATTTCCAGCTTGGTAAATCTGTCCTTTAAGGGCCACCCACGCCTCTGCCCAGGCAGTCACCCAGGCCACTCCCTCCCACTCCCCCAGCTTGGGCTTATTGGCACCCCATCCACCCAATGTGGGGAAGGGTGGTGCCAGGCACAGTGAGCTGGAGGTGTCAAAGAAAGACTGACACGTCCCTGTGACCTCCCCTGGCCAAGGCCTTTCTCTGGGGACTCCCATCTGGGGAGGGGCCGTGAACTCTGGGCCCCAGATCTGCAAACCCTTACAGTTTGACCCAGAGACCACAGTCCAAATCTCAAAATTCCACATGAAGATCCCAAAGTCTGGCCTCCATCTGGATCTGAGATCAGCCCGACCCTCTTGACAGGGTTGGCCAGGTGGCTGGGTCTTTCTGGCCCACCTCACCCATTTCCCTGTCTCTGAGTCAAACCCGATGTCTCTTTAACCCAGACCCTTCCCTCACCACACACAAAAACTTTTCCAAAACGGGTACATAGCCTTTTTCCAGAGGAGGTGGACCAGCTATTTTCACATCTCCTAAAAATTCTAGAGTGTTCCAGAAACTCCCTTCCCCGCCCTCCTTGAGGCCCCATCCTCAACCGAGCGGCCCTCCCCCCACCAGGGAACAGTGGAACAAGCTGTTCTCACATACTCCTCCTGGCGCCTGTGACACACCAACTTCCAACACC